GTCTACTTCCAGCTCATTTGCCTCAGTCACTTTATCTCGTTTCTGGACATGTGCAGATGTGGTCATCTGCTTCTGTTTTTTGGGCATCTTCAGGGGTTATCTGTGACCTTAATATTCAGATGGGTATGTATTTTGGTATACTTTATGCTTTCTGATTGCCTCCAGGTAGATGTGATCGGGAAATGGGCTTCCCTTTTCACTCTTCTACTTAAGAAATTTCAAGATGCCACTGTTAGTCATTTTGATGTAATTTAGGATTTAATCTTTGGCCTATTTCCTTTTTTGTCTGCTTCTCCAGCTCCACAATCCCCGTTCAGGCCTTTTTTCTAGTTGTAAACAGTTCAGGGCTGCCTGTGGCCATTTGGTTTTCATTGGAAACTGTCTCTTTAAATTTCATGGAGATCTGTGTGCATGTGTAGTAGAAGCCTCCGAGGGTGGGGCTGGGGTGCCCACTAGCTCAGGAACCCCTAAAGTCAGCAGAATGGAGTTGTGCAGACAGCAAGGGACCAATGAACAGCTACCAAAAGAGAAGAATGTCTACACCTTTATCTCTGCGGTTCTGCCAGGCATCTGTGGCTGCTCAATCCTTCCCCTGATTGGTCTCACCAAAGATGGTGGCTCCTCGAGCAGCTGAGCGTCCCAGATTAGAAAGCAATGGATTTCTTGCTTCTGCCACAAATTCCCCCCAGCTGTAAGCCTTCCTACCTTCTAAATATTCCTTTATATGTGGTTCAGAGTTCTGGGACCATCCCCTGAGCCTGCTTGGTCGGTTATTCTGTGTTGTTGGTAGCGGAGCTCCTTTACTGCACTTCTACCTAATCCACCATCTTGTTTGTTCTCTGTTGTAGCTATCTTATTTGATTGTTCCTAGAACGCTTTCCTGACTTCTTCCTTATTTTTCTCAACTCCACTCTATAGTGTTTTGATACATTTTATAATCATTTTTCTAATTCCTTGTCAGGCATTTCCAAAGCCTGCCCATTTTCCACTATAAAGTGTACGTCTACTTCACTTGCCTCAGTCACTTTTTCTTGTTTCTGGACATGTGCTGATATGGTCATCTGTTTCTGTTTTTTCGGCATTTTCAGGAGTTATCTGTGGCCTTAATACTTAGATGGGTGTGTATTTTGGTATTTTTTATGCTTTCTGATTGCCTCTAGGTAGATGTGATCAGGAGATAGGCTTTCCTTTTCACTATTCTTCCTGAGAAATTTCAAGATGTCACTGTTGGTTGTTGTGACATAACTCAGGATTTAATTTTCAGCCTATTTCCTTTTTAGTTTGCTTGTCCCGCTCCACAGTTCCTGTTCAGGCATTTCTTCCTTGTGATAAACAGTTCAGGGCTGGCTGTGGCTGTTTCGTGCTGTCGTTTTAAGTGGAAACTGTCCATTTAAATTTCGAGGGGACATGTGTGCATACATAGTAGAACCCTCTGGGGTTGTGGGTGGGGTGTCCACTTGCTCAAGCACCCCTGTAGTCACCAGAATGGAGGTGTGCAGACAGGGAGAGACCAATGAACAGGTTCAAAAAAAGTGTCCACACCTTTATGTCCGCAGTCTGTCTGGCGTCCGTGGTGGTTCTGATCCTTCCCCCTCTTAGTCTTGCCCAAGAGGAAGCTCTGGGAGCAGCTGAGCATCTTGAATTAGAAAGCAATTGATTTCTTGCTTCTGCTATCAGCTCCCCTAGCAATAAGCCTTCCAACCTTCTAAATATTCCTTTATATGTGGTTCAGAGTTCTGGCACCATCCCCTGAGCCTGCTTGGTCTGGAGCTCCTCACTGCACTTCTACCCTATCTGCCATCTCATTTGTTCTTCTCCATTACCTTTTTATTCCAGTTTTCCACAAACTCTTTGATGCCCCCACTTAATTTTCCAGAAAGCAGAGCTCCATAAAAATATTTTAAAAGACACAAAAAAGCACAGCTGTAAAAAAACCTGCTGAGCTAGGCAATGCTAAAAGGCAACACTAAAAACCAGACTAGTTGATTTTCCTTTTTTGCTGTTTCATAGATTAAACTACAAGGCCATACATATCTACTTTATTTCTCTTTTCTTCCCTAAAGATATCCACAGTCACTTACATTCTCATGGCCTCATTTCTAGTTTTTACCTTCAGATCTCCTTTCATCTGATCATGAAGCCATGGCCCTGACTTACAACTTCCTGAAAGTGTCTCCTCTAATAAAATGCACCCCGGTTGACTGTTGACCCCTCTATTCCTAACTAATGATGTCTCCATTTAGTATCCCATATTTTTGGTCTGCCTTAGTTATAATTTTTGTGTGTTCCATATGTGTTTTTGGCTTCACAATTAAATTGTGAGATCAGTAATGGCAAGATGATTTTTGTTTGTATCTTACCTCCCACCTTCATTTTAAGGTATCAATTAATATTGCTAAAAATAAAGCACTGTTTAAAGGACACTTACGATTAATTCTGTCTGTATTTTGGCTTACTGTGAAGCACTTACATTATTATTGTGAAGATATTCAATTGCTCGAAGAATCTGGAAGAGGTATTTTCTAAGTCGCTTATTCTCTAGTCCATGACAATAATGTTGCAACTCATCTAATATTGTATGGTCAATAAATTCAAACACCAAATGAATTTTCTTTTTCTGTCTAAAAACTTCGATAAGATTGACCAAGTTTTCATGACGAAATTGCTATTGAAAAAGAAACATATTTTAAATAAATTACTTCGTGTACAACAATTTGGACAACTAATACCTATATAACTTTAAAAAGAAGCAAATACTCTCAACTCCTCTTCCATCATGCATTTCAAATGAAAATTTTCAGATGATTTGCTTACATTTCTATTTTAAGGACATTCAGACCCATTTTAGTCCTGGTGTGGCGCTGTGGGTTAATGCGCCAGACTGCAAAGCTGTTAGAACCACACGGTAGGTGGTTCAAACTCACCAGCTGCTCCTCAGAAACTCTATACAGGGTTGCTATGGGTCGAAACTGACTCGACGGCACTTAACAACAACAAACCCATTTTAACAGTATTTATAGAATAAAATGAGATGCAGTACTTTGTCTCAAATAGCATTCAATTGCCTATTAAAATATTCTAGAGTTAATGTACTATATCACCGACACCATTCTATTTTTCAACATAATGACTTAGTTACAATTAATTTTGAAAAAAGTTAACTACTTTATTTTCAAATTATCAAAAACATCTATCATTTGGCTAAAAATTATGGGGTATTATATTAATATTGGGGTTCATTAGAAAAGTATACTTTGATGAAAAAATACTTGCCTTTATTCCAATGGCACAATGTCAACTTCCCAAATTCTCTGTACTAATACAGGCACTAAAGTCATTAAAATATGCCTAATAGAAAAGCATTCCAAAATACAGTGCCAGATTTCTTTCCTACTATTGATCTCAATTTCCCTGGTTGGCAAGATGCCAGAGCATTGCAGCAACAGCATTGCAGCTGGCAATAGGAGACAAAAACTGGCTGCTTTTGGACACTACAATATTAACCCTTCAAGTGAGGAAAATTACCGGTTTCCTATCTGGCCTTTATCTTGAAAGGCAAAAACAATGAAAGCAGTAAAGGGGAATAATAGGGGAAATCACTCAGGGGTGAGAAGACACATGAAAAGGCAGGTACTTTCTCATAGTCACGATGAAATCCCTGGAAATGCTCCATTACCCCTTTTCAAGTTGTTTAATTTTGTTTTTGTTTTTTTCTCCAGATAATTCACTATAGCTTTTCTAACTGTAATTTATTTTGAAAAATTTTAACAGAGATAGAAATTTAGTTCAAACTAAGTCAATCAGAATGTTAATAGACCCTAGAAATCTCTCTAATGGAGTTTTGTTGTTGCTGTTAGGTGCCATTGCGACGGTACTGACTCATAGCGACCCTATGCACGAGAGAACAAAAATGGAAAATTCTGCATTGAGACAATGAGACTAAATAGTTATGGTGTTTCAAAATAACAGTTGCACCTGTAAATGCAGAAATCTTTATAAGGTGGAAACGTGTCAGAAAAGAGGGACTCAAATATTTTCCATTAAACAGAGAGCATCTCTGGTAATATAGTGGTTACAAATCAGGCTTCTAACCTCAAGGTCAGCACTTCGGCTCCACAGGAGAAAGAGGAGGTTTCTGCTTCAGTAAAGATTTACAGCCTCTGAAACCCTATGCAGGGTCACTAGAGTCAGGACCCACTCCACAGCAAGTCACCACCACCACCCCCTGTCAATGGGAGCACAGTGGCTCCGTACAATAAGCACTGTTTTTCTAACAAGGTCCTTAGTTTGAGCCTGCAGCTACTCTGTGGGAGAAAGGTCAGGCTTTCTGCTCCAAGGAAGAGTTAAAACCTCGGAAATTCCCATATACAGTGTCCCTAGGAGTCATAACTGACTCGGCAACACATAACAACAACAACACCCTTTCACAGGCAGGAAACTGTCAAAGACCTGGAAAAACAGAGCAGTCCTAGCTAGTTCTGGTTCTCACAGGTTTCAGTGGAACAGTCAAATACATTTTCAAGTTCATCTTTGTGTTCTTGCCACATTAGCTACTTTTACAAAATGAATAAGTAGGAAAATAATAATCAATGGAAGTGCATTAGAACTGAAGAAAGAACAAGGGATACTGTCTAGGAAAAGATCTTGTCATCAGATTTCCCTTATCGTGCACACAGCTCCTTAAGGCCACAGACATCTCACATCTTTACAGTCCCAGCATCTAGAAAATGTCTGGCACAAAGGAGACACTTTAATTCAGCGTTTAATATATTAAAATGTTGCTGAATAATTATATATATATTTCACAATATTTGGCATAGTTTTTAAGCTAAAACACAAGCACATGCATCTTGAGTCACTATAAATTTATAAAATGTAGCTAACAGGCAGGGCATCACACTTATTTTTCTATTACATGTCTTGATACATATTAACTGAAATAGTCTTTGAAACATTTAAAAAGTTTTCCTAACAATGTCTCTTGATTTATTAGAACAAGAATTAAAGCAAAAGAAGCAAACCTTTAGAAACTTTATTTCTCTCGTTGCAATTTTGTTGACAGATTTTTCTGGTTTTTCATAAAATATCTTAATGGCCACTATCTGCCCAGTAACCTTATGTTTACACTTCATGACGGTTCCATAACTTCCCTCTCCCACTTTTCCAAGGGTTTCATACATCTCCATTTTCAAGTTTGGCTTCTATTTCTTCAGAGGAATAAAGGGAAAAAATGGTAAATGTTTACAGCTTTATTTATTCAAGCTGGATAATACATTTCCAAAACTAAACCCACACTTGCAAACGCAGAAACTGAAAAAATAAGAACCTTTTCCACAAAACCTGTCTGTCTTTGAGAACTCTGCTAGTCGGGTAATAAGGTGTTCCTGTGAGGCTCCAGCTCTTACCAGATTCTGGGTCCTTCGGCTGCTTCGGTCATTCTCATTCCCATCAACACTGAGGCTCCCTCACTACGTTTCACCCATCCATCAAGCCTGAGGTCCCCACACTCTTAGTCATTCTTTCATGACATACTGGGTTCTCGCACCACTGCAGTCGCACACAAATTAGACTCCGAGACCCAAGAAAGCGTAGGTCCCGCCCGCTCGTATCAGTGGTCTAAGCGGAGTCGCGCCCCTCACCCCACTGTCAAGTAGTTCCAGGCAGTCGCCGTCGCCTCAGCCCATTCTGAAGTACTGGCGGCCCGACTCCGCGCAGTCCCAGCCTGACCTTCTTTACCAACCACCCTAGCAGCTGCCGCCAGGTACCATGGCAACGGAGGGGGTGGGGTAAGGTAGGGGTAGGGGCTGGGCAATCGGCCCCTAGTGCGCAAGACCGGATCATACGCCGGTCCCGCCCCGGAAGAAAAGTTAAAAGAAGCGGAAAGGGCCCCTGGAGCGCGCTAAAATGGGAATTTGCTTGGGTATCCGTTGGTGGGTTGGCAGGCTTGGCTTCTCTCAAACTCGGGGCCTCTTCGCAAGGTTAGTTTTGAACGGGATGGGGAGCATCCACATTTTGACAGTAAAGTGAGTGTGTGCAAGTCCGCTGGGGGGAGGTGGGAACCTAGGCAAACGTCCGCCCTGCATTCTGGACGCCAACTGGCCAGAGAACACCACCCCCCCCCAAAACAAACAAACAAACAAAAAACGAAAACTAAACCCTTTGCCGTGTGTCGATTCTGACGGCGACTCCATAAGACAGAGTAGACCTCTCTATAGGGTTTCCAAGACTAATCTGTGTGTGAGCACACCTTACTAGTGGTGTTGTCCCCCATTAATATACTTCTTACTGCTTGACTGATAATTGGGGCACGAGAGTGAGACCAGTAGGGTGGTCGAGGTTCCTCCAGCCTCTTTTTGACCAGTAAGCCTTGTCTTTTATTATTATTAATAATTTTGGGTTTTGTTCCACATTTTTACTTTACCTAGTCTATCTAGGATTTTCTAATGTGATCCCTTTCAGAGCAGTTGGTGGTGGTAGTGGGCGCACCGTTTAGTGCTGGTCTTAGAGTCGTGGACACTGATATTCACATGGTCCATTAGTCCTTTGGACTCATTGATTCCAAGCCTAGTCACTTCTTTGCACTTTTCTTGTGCACATGGAGATATAATAGCAATAACCTTAGACGGCCGTTCAGGAGCCCTGGCGTGGTGCTTTGGTTAATGCACTGGACTGCAAAGTTCGCAGTTCCAGCTCATCGGCCACTCCAGGAAACCCTATACAGAGAGGGCCCCCGTGGGTTGGAACCGACTCAACTGTACTTAACAAAAAAATGGCTGCTTATGAGCTTTTTAAGATCCCAGACGCAATTCGCCAAAGTAGGATGTAGAACATTGACTTTGTGGACTATGTAATGCCAGTTTGGCCCTGGTGTCCCCTGAGACTGTGGACCTGGACCCCAGGCCCATCAACTCATTAAGGCTGTAAATCTTTAAGGAAAACTGCCACATCTTTCTCTTGTGGGGTGGCTTGCGCTCGAATAGCCGACCCTAGGGTACCACCACCAACAGCTTAAAGGATGGCTGTGATTAAGCTGTGACAGTTTGTAAGATGAAAGGAATCCTGGTGTGGCTCTGTAGAATAAGCACTGGACCACAAGTCGCTTTGAACCGCAAGGTTGGCGGTTCAAACTCACCAGCTGCTCCTTGGAAACCCTATACAGGGTCTCTATGAGTCGAAGGCACTTAACGGCAACAAACTGTATTTGTGGTATTGCTTTTCTAAATTACCTACCTACAAGTTCCACAAACCGGAGTTTGATCTCAGTTGTTGACATTCGCCTTTAAAACAGGGATGGATGAATGTTTCTTGAACATTTGTTAAATGTTTTAAAAATCTTTCCAACTCCTAGTAATACTTAAAGGGGGAAAAAAAAAAAAATCCTCACTACAGTTTAAAACTGTTACTTTGGTAAAAGACCTTGAATAAAATAATTCAATGGATTCTACCACATGTAGGGCGTGACATGCTTGGAAGGGCACAGAAAAAAAGAGGCTGGTGTTTAATTGTTTAAGAATTGGATTTGGGGATCAAATGCAGTGACTGTTGTTAAGTGCCGTCAAATTGTTTCCCACTCAGACACCTGATAGGGTTTCCAAGGAGCAGATGGTAGGTTTGAACTACCGACTTTGTGGTTCAAACCGAACATGTGGTCCAGTGCATCACCCCACAGTGCCACACTTGTTTTTAAGTTCTGTCAAGTCACTTCCGATCCTTAGTGACCCTGTATAGGGTTTCCAAGGAGTGGCTGGTGAGATTGAACCACCGACCTTGTGGTTCAAACCAACTTTGCAGTCCTGCGCATTAACCCACAATGCCACATCAGGACTCCAAACAAGTGCTTGTTGTCGTTAAGTGCTGTTGAGTCGATTCCGACCCATAGCAACCCTGTATAGGGTTTCCAAGGAGCAGCTGGTGAGCTTGAACCACTGACCTTGCAGTTCAAATGACTTTGCGGTCTGACACAGAGCACAGCACCACAGGGAGTGCTATATTTCTAAGGGTTTTAGTCATCTTTTTCTTGTAAAATGAGCTAAATTCCACCATATATCCCTTAAATATGAGGGAAGACTTTATTGTATTGTTGTTAAGTGCCATCAAGTCCATCCCAACTCAAGTCAGTTCCAACTGAGGATTTAGCTGGTGGCTTTGAAAGGCCAACCTTGTGATTAGCAGTCCCGTGCTTATGCTACAGCGACACACCAATTCTAGCCCAATGCTTCCCACCCCAACATTAAAATCACACCTAGAGAACTTTTAAGAACTCCTTATTCCCAGACATTCTGATTTATTTGGGATGGGATTGTTATTTTAAAAGTTCATCCACATGTTTCTAACATGCTGCTAATGTTTAAAGATTATGAGTAGGGAGAGAAGTGGTCATAGTTTTTGTTTTCCCCAGCAAAATATTCAGAGCCCTTTCCTTTTAAAAGTTATTCAGTCTTATAATATATTTCCAATCTACGAATGTCAGTTAATCTTATAAACGGCACAGATTTGCTGAAAGCATATTCACTCAACATTTATTGTGGATTAAATATTTGCAAAGGACAAAGCGTGAATCAGATTGGTCCATGCCTGCAGTGTATTTACAATGTACAGTTACAACAGTACAGTTGTTAGGTGCTGTCAACTCAGTTCTGACTCAGTGACCCTATATAGGGTTTCTGAGGAGCAGTTGGTGAACTTGAACTGCTGCTGCAGTGGTTCAAATGACCTTGCAGTCCCGTGCATTAACCCATAACACCACACCAGGACTCCACAGTTACAGGATAGAAAAGACTGTAATTTCAGCTTAAAAGTATTATTTTTATAAATAATAGGTTGTGGCAGGCCTGGAGACCTGGACAGCCAAAGATTCTTATTTACGTACTGCTCTAAGACTGATGAACTTTCATAGAACTTGTCAAACTGTTAACTTCATTTTGGGAAACCATATATCATTTTAAATCGCTAGCTCTGGTTAGTGGTTATGAGTCGGGCTGCTAACCTCAAGGTCAGCAGTTCAAAACTACCAGCTGTTCCACAGGAGAAAAATGAGGCTTTCACCTTCAGTAAAGATTTGGTTGGTTATGTGCTGTGGAGTCAGTTCCAACTCAACGGTGACCCAGCATAGGGTTTCCAAGGCTGGAAATCTTTACAGAAGCAGAAAGCCTCATCTCTTTCGTGCAGAACAGCTGGTAGTTTCAAACTGCTGACTGTGAGGTTAGTAGCCCAACTCGTAACACTACACTAGCCTCAGAAACCCTATGCAGGATCATTATGTGTCAGAACCGACTCCATAAAACACCACAACCACCAGATGAATTGTTATTAACAAATTAAAAAAAAAAAAACAACTCTTTAGCATTTTACTGTGTGGTAACCTACCAGGTCTGTTTGACTCCCTGGCTATGAGGAGGATGGCAGGAAGGCAAAATGTGTGTGTGTGTATATATATATATATATACATATTATGTATATTGTTGTGAAATGCTATCTAGCCAGTTCCGACTCATAGCATCTTTACATAGGGTTTCTAAGGGGTGACTGGTGAGTTTGAACCACCATCCTTGAGGTTCAAACTGACCCCAAGAGTGTACATGTACATATACATACATATGAGTCCTGCTGTGGCACTGTGGGCTAATACGTCAGACTGCAAAGTCATTTGAACTGCAAAGTTGGTAGTTCAGACTCACTAGGTGCTCCTTGGAAACCCTATACAGGGTCACTGTGGATCGGAATTGACTCAATAGCACTTAACAACAACAAAATAGACTCCTGGTGTGGTGCCTTAGGATCAGTACTGGATTGTGAACTACAAGGTCAACAGTTCAAAACTACCAGCTGCTTCTCAGAAACCGTATATAGGGTTAATATGGGTCTCTTGACGGCACTTAACAGCACACACACACACACACACATATATTTTCCCCCCAGCTTTTGAGTTAGAGAATCACATTTATAAATGAATACAGGACCTGGCAACAGTTAACCCACCCACTACCATCCAGTCCGTTGTGATTCATCACAACCTTATAGGACAGAGTTGGGTTTCTGAGGCTATAAATGTTTATGGAAGCAGACTGCTTCATCTTTTTCTGGTGAGTGAAGTGGTTAGTGGGTTCAAACTGCCCCCTTTAGGTGAGCAGCCCAACAGTTAAATCACTGTGCTACAAGGGCTCTTTATCAAGAGTTGTATAGGGCTTCCAAGGAGCAT